TATACTACTGATTGACTGATATGCGTAGAGGCACACCACTTACATTAATGAATAAGGAGTGCACTACTAACATGACTTATAAGTAGTATATAGATGTAAATGTCAATATGTATATCGCCTGCAGAAATATCAAATAGCGCAGAGACAGACTTAATAACAAGGGAAGCTAATGAACGATTCCTGTGAAACAACTTAGAAAACAGTGAAAAGGTGACGAAAGTAGCACAAATATAGAAGACATTTGCGACTTGTGAATGTATTTCGCCTATATCTATCTGTACATGGAGTTATCAAGAAAAGAATTCCGTCACCAAATAGTCTTATGTTCTGCCGCTACACTGCTAGCCAAGCTGAAGTGATGTATACACTAGACGGCCGTTTCGACCATTTGGGGCTGAGTTAGTCAGTAACGTACCCACTTTGACTCAGCCTAGAGAGACATACCAGTTCAAACCAGCTGAATTTTGGCTAGCTATTTGGGCAAATTAGTAATACGTTAATTAGCAATTTACGCAGTTCGAGGTGAAAGTTCACCATAGTTTTACTTCGATCTAGTTAGCAGGCAGTATCGGTTGATGTGAGTGATGTCCACTGGTATATATAATGTCATAAATATCACGCAGCTTACAACATAAATAATTTATGCTAAAAACCGTGTTTTTCTTTTTTGATTGGACACTGGTTAGTAACCAGTATAATGTATCTAGTCGTTTGTCTGATATAAACTGAATTCTGTCAGTGACATTCGAAATGTGGCCACCATTCTAGGTGGCTCGCCATCACGGTGCACTATGAATACTTGATTACAGTCCTACAAGAGATCAATTGCTAGTTCGAATAGCTCAGTGGTAACGTCTCTAACTGCAGGCGACACTGGGTGACGCCGGTCTGAATCTCAGAAGGGACATGAGTTCCTTCAGTGTTGTAGATACGCCTTGCTGAGTGATGAGTGTCAACTAGTGCGAAACCTAGGTCAAGCAAGGCTTCCTGCAAATTACCTCCAACCATCTAACATCAACTGTGTTCTTCACCGTTTACAATGAAGACAGTATCTAGACCTTGATCATACAAGCGTCAAAATTCGATAAAGTACAATGTATAACAAGAAAAAACTTTATGGTATTTAAATTTAGGAATTATTCGTAGTTGTTTTAAAATGTCTATTATAATTTTCAATACATTGACTAGGGAATAATCATCGTCCCTTTCCTATAAGCTTCTTCAACTTCCACAGTTATCTATCCATAATAGTCAAGGAAAAATCGATACTGACAACGTTAATGCTTTCTAACGAAAATGAAGCGTTAGGATAAAGAATGCCGAAGGTATATTTAGGTCAACTGTTAATAGATTACCAATTTTGTGTAGTATAGTAACTGAGAAAGCTGTCCAGAAAAGTCTATAAAACAGCAAATGATTATAAATGTCGAAAACCAGTGAATTACCTCACCTTTTTTGAAAGTTATGGAAAGACTTATTTTACTTATTCTTGAACCCTCTTTAAAGCCTTTTAATGACCCCAACCAGTTTGCTTATGAGCATAGTAGGTGTACCTTAGATGCCGCTGTTGTTCTATATCATAATATAGTCTCTAGTTTATATAGAGGAGCTAAATACGTTAGGTGTGCCTTCCTTGATTACACATCCGCATTTGACTCTGTACCTAGGTCTCTCTTGCTAAGTAAGCTTGCTGCAACACAGGCTGATAGCTGGACAAATAAGTGGTTGCATTCCTATTTTTCTGATAGGAGGCAGTACACCATCTACAATGGAAAGTCCTCCACTACCTCACTTACTTCAGCTGGTGTTCCTCAAGGTGCTGTTCTTTCCCCTTTTCTGTTTTCTTTTTTCTTACATGACTTGCCCCATTCTGATGTAGCCACTTTTGTCAAGTATGCTGATGACCTCTCTGTTTCTGTGCCTGTCAACTCAGTCAGATTGTTCCAAATTAAATTACTTTCTTTAAAACAATTAGTTCCCTTTATGAATTTAGATAAAGCAATAAGAATGTGTTGCGCAAATACATTACACGATTCAGACAAATTACGTCTTCTTATTGCTTTATCTAAATTACTTTCTGTCGGAAATTATTTAGTGGTCCTCTTCAAACGGTCTTAAGCAAAATCCGTCTAAATGTCAGGTAGTCAATTTCACTTTCAGACGAAAACGTGACCTACAGCAACTAGCTAGCTCACATGGCCCCACTATCATTGACGGCATAGAGGTTGAAACTACATCTAATGTCAAGTACCTTGGACTGAGTACTTCCTCCGATCTTTCCTGGTCCTCTCACATCTTGCTAGTGACTAGAAAGATGTTTCGCTTAACGTTCTACGTTAGGAAGTTTAGGCAGTCTGGTATAAAGCAGTCTTTGCTTTCTCAGTTTGTCAGTTCTACCCATCCTCTTTACTGCTCGCCATTAATCTTTCCTGGACTACTTAAGAATGATTTTGCTTTGCTGAGAAGGGCAGTAAAAGCTGTTAGTAGGGGAAGTGGGATGTCGTTAAACCAACTGGTTAACACTATTGTGGATAGACATATAATGTCATGTAAGAAACTAGCGAATACTATATTGTCAGATCCCGAACATCCTCTCTATACGCAGCTCTCTCCTTGCATTTCATCTGGTAGAACTAGAAGCAGCTATGGGAGGCTATATGCCAGGACTACCAAGTACAAAAACTCCACAATACCTTATCTGGCACAGCTGTTGTGTGATGAGAAAACTGTTAGGTATGACACGATCAACTTACTGCGGCACTCTAACAAATAGTTCCCATTAGTTTTTGTTTTCCTTTCTGTGTTACTATTATATTGTTGTTCACATATTCTATTACACACTAATTTTATATTTCATATTCCTGTAGTGCATTGTTTAAAATGTGAATGTAACGCTGTTCTTTTTATTTACCTATTTTTGTTGTTGTTGCTTTTTGGTTATTAAAATCTTAAAAAAATTAATGGGGTAATTAAATGCAATATTGCAATGCACGCTGAAAATTCCATACCTGTACCACAAATACTGTTTGGAATAAAGCTATTATTATTATTATTATTATTATTAGAATGTCATCTGGTCAGTGGTTATCTAATTGATTCCAGTCTATGATTTAACTTGAAAGGATTATATCATCACAGATTACACTAACTCTATTAATCATTATTTTCATTGTAATGATGATGATGATAATGATAATAGTGAGATCGATCTGTGAACTACTGTCTATTTTAAGCACACAATAATACAATTATGTATATATACATTCAATGAAGGTATTTGCTCTAATAAAAAGAATGACATATTTTGTACATAACACAACTATAACTTTTGTATTGCTGAGAGATGAAAGAAAGCTTATGGAAATAGCTACACAGTATGAAGCTAAAAAAAATAACTATCAAATATCTCAGCTAATCGATTCATAAAATGAAGCGTTCATTTCTGTTATTTTCACTTCTACGAATTTCTTTTTAAAACCCATCTTCGTGACATTCATTATTTGGAAAACAGAAAGATTGAACGAAGAAATATTTACTTTTCAATTAGATCCTCATCTCTGGCTCTACTCTAATATACATAACATTTTTATTACAATACACAACAGTTTACCAAACAAGTGGTGATATGTTTGTTAACAATAATTAAATAGTGTCAAAATGTCAATGGGTTGATAATAAACGAAGAAAATCAATACACACAATTAAAAGGTAGGAATGGTTAGGATAAATTAATTTTACAAGGATAACACGTAATTAAAGATGAAGTGGTGAAAATAAATAAAAATAAAATAATTTGGACAACTATAATATTTATAGGTTTAGGAGGAGAGGGCTACGTAGTCCTGTTTATGCATTCTTGTAACGACGGCCACGGTAAAGAAAGTGGCTGTACAAATTTCTTCTGAACACATAGGCTTCGCTTCTTCAGGTGGATTCCGATTGCTTCAGCTGTCTGTAGAAGACGAACTCGTAGAGCAAAGTTAAGATTAGTCAGAATGCGATAAATAATTTTAAATGCAGTATTAACATCAACCTTATGCTCAGTATCAACAAGGTGTGGTAAAATAGAACTACGAATAGATCTTGTTTGTCCCTTGCTTAACCATGCTGGATGATGTTCGGAAATACGACGATGAAACTGCCTAATTTTACGCTCAATGTAGCTGGCTCCGCAGCTGCAGTCGAACTGGTAGATAGACATAGAGGAGGCAAATTTAGGTAGTTTATCCTTATTTCTCGAACACAGAATAGGGCTGGTTGTGAAGAGACAACATACCTCTGCTGCATAATAAGCTCTTTTAACTGCATTTTTCACGCTGTGTGTTATGATTTCGCTGATGTTGTCACCGAGGAACTGCGATTTTATGAACATTGGTTTTTTCGAAACTGTAGCCATACTGACTCTCCTAGATGCTGAATTCATATTCTTATCAATAAATTTGTCTGGATAACTATCTTTTCTAAGTAATTCTCTAATAATCTTAAGCTCCTCAATGAGGCAGTCGTCTGAACAGATTAACTTAGCTCTATGAACCAGACACTTTACCAGGTTACATTTATATTTCAAAGGTACAAAACTCAAATAATGAGTGTACTGACCTGTTGTTGTAGGTTTCCTATACACACTCCTTCTTAGTGTGCCATCTTCTTTCCTTGCCATAAAGACGCCTAGGAATGAGATACTGTCATTACTTTCTTTCTCTATAGTAAAGTTTATTGCTGAATGTGCGTCATTAAACTTGTCAAGGATATTCATTGCATCATTCTCGTCTTTCATAACCACAAATGTATCATCCATATATCGACAGTAGAAATCCATGTCATTAATTATTCCTTTCAGTGGTCCATTCTCTAATTTAGCGAGGAAAAAATCAGCTAGGATTGGACCTAATGGGGAACCCATAGCTACATTCATTAATAATGATACTATATACATTAGTTAGCAGTTATACAATCTGGAATTCTAAATCAGCGTTTGTTTGTTTTTTCTTCTTATTTAGCAAAGATCTATGGATGAAGCGACACTAGATATTAAAGTATTTAATGGGGATGACGATGAAGGAAATATTGTAGACCGATTCGCTTATCATCTAACAGAAAGACTTAGCTCACTTAGATCTGGAAAACTAGTAACATGGACTAATACCACTCAAAGATCGATTCGAGGTTTGATGGAGTGAGTTAATAAATTTGTGAATTTCTACTAGGTTATGTATAATTATATCAGATAAGATTTCTGAAAAATCGATCCTAACTAATGAGTTTAAAGCTAGATATTGCATCAGTTTACAGTTCACAATTTATTTAGGATAGTAGGCTATATACCTGTGTTAATCCTTTCAATTTGTTACACACAGGAGGTCCAATCTCGCCTTGAATGAATCAACGGATGGCGCTGATACGACGTGTTCCGGTAGGGAGTTCCAATGGTTCACAATCCAATGCGAAAAACGGATCTCCAAACGCAGACGATTCGACCGTGGTTTTTGAACCTTGAGGTGATGTCCTCGCAATTGGTTGGTGCTAGAAGGAAGAAATAAATTAGATAAATTTGCTCCAAAATCATTTCTTAGGATACGGTATGCTAGTATTAGGTCACCCCTAAGTCGTCTGTATGACAGTGAAAATAAACGCAGTCGACTTAACCTCTCCTCATATGAGAGGGTTGAGAAACCCTTTATTACCTTAGTTCCTACTCTTTGCACCCTTTCTAATAAGTCTATTTCGTATTTGAAACACGGGCTCGCTGCCTGGATCCCATATTCCAAATGAGGTCTGATATAAGTCGGATATAATATACAAAATATTTCAGCGTCAAAATTTGCAAACGCCTTGCGTATGGCCCACAATATTCAAAAACCCTTAGTGGCTGCAGCTCTACAGTTTGTAGCTGTTTTCAAGTCATGCTGCACAACCACCCCCAAGTCCTTGTACTCAGTGACCACTGGGAGAGTAATGCCATTCATTGAGTAATTGTGCACGTGACTATGAGATACATGCATAACTATACTCTTGCTTAAGTTAATGTCCAAGACCCAGTGCTTACACCAATCACTTAACAAGTTTAAATCTTCCTGCAAAGCAAGTTGGTCACTATCATCGTGTAAAGGCCTCCATATCTTGATGTCATCAGCAAACAGTAAGCAGGATGACTTAACTACCGATGGAATCTCATTAACAAAAATCAGGAAAAGAAGTGGGCCTAGAATTGTACCCTGAGGAACGCCACTCTTAACCGATTCCCATGTTGATAAAACCCCATTAACTCGTACTCTTTGTCTTCTGTCCTTTAGAAAGTCTTGATTCCAGTCGGCAACCATTTTATTGATTCCCATACTACCTAACTTTACTAGAAGACCTGAATGAGAAACCCTGTCAAACGCCTTGCTAAGGTCGATGAATATGGTATCCACCGGTATATTAGCATCAGCTGACCTTGCCCAACTTTCTCTGGCCAAAAGAAGGTTGGTCAAGCAAGAATGACCTGCTCTAAAACCATGCTGTTCCACGGCGAAAAGTTTGTATACCCACGGACTATTTGAAGGAACTCCTATTAAGATGTACTCTAAACGCCCAATTCACTTTCAATAATGAAATATATAGACAAAAAGATGGTATAGCTATGGGCTCACCACTCGGCCCGCTGCTTGCAGATATTTTCATGTCAAAACTAGAAAATACACACCTAAAGAAGACAATAGATAACTTCGGGTTCTACAAGAGATACGTGGACGATACTTTTATTATCGCCAATAATGAGGAAAATTTGGAGAACATATCGGACTTCTTCAACAGTTGCCATCCAGCAATCCAGTTCGCACTAGAGAAGGAGTCCAACGCAACAATATCTTTTCTGGACGTGCAACTAGCAAGACGCGAACAAGATGAGACACTCAAAAGATCCATTCACAGAAAACCGACATGGAATGGACAACTCATCAGCTTTCACAGTTGGGTGCCTCTATACAGAAAACGAAATCTAATCCGCTCAGTGACTCACAGAATCCACAACATTTGCAGTCCGGAAACCATAGAAGAGGAGCTGATGACCCTGAAAAGAATCCTCCTTGAAAATGGTTACCCGGAACGTTTCATCACAAAAGCCATGAAGCCCAAAACACAAAAACCGTCCATGCTTACTGCTCACAAGAAACTTCTCTATTTGAATCTACAATTCAGCGGAGATTCTTCAGCAGAAATACTGAGAAGCCACCTATGCCACTCACTGAAGAAAACCTTCTTCGCAGCTGAACTCAGACTTTCTCTACGAAACCAATGATTCGCACGAACGTGAAGGATAAGCTTCCACTGGGGGCCTCATCAATGTGCATCTACCAATTCACCGGCTCATGTGGAGCTAGGTATGTCGGCCGTACCCAGCGTTTGCTATCCAAACGAATCAGCGAACACTTACTTTCATGGTTTTATAAAGGAGAAAGAAGATCACCCCGCCACAGCTCTATCCTAGAACACTTGATCGAATCCGGACACCAAGCAAACCCACAAAACAACTCAGTTATCTACACAATACGTGGGAATCTTGCCAAAAGAGTACGAATTAAACTTCTTCAAACTGCAGAAGCAATGGCAATTCACATATTGAATCCTGAAATCTGCATACAAAAGAAGTTTGTTCAGTTACTAAATCTACAATGGTCCTGATCTATCTCAACACCAAATACGTAATTTTGTCTTACCTCTTTCTTCTTTGTTTGTCTGTTTCTTAATTGCATTATTTTCTACCCCCACCCTCTATTAAATCTCTACCCTCATGACGATTGTTGCTAACTCAATTTTCGTTTATTTTTAAGTGAATTCTACTCAGCTTATCAACTTAACTCTCATTCATTTTCAAGTGAATTCTACTCAGATTATTAACTTGACTCTCTTTCATTTTTCATTGAACCTTAGCAATTAGATTACGTCACCCAACCTACTTTTGTAACTTTATTTCAGTTTCTAACCGATTAACGCCTTCTAAATTACGTAATTTGTTGTCAAAAATTAACAATTGCACTAACACATCTTTGGAAATATTCCTTTTGTTGCCAACAAAAAAATTACTATAAATTTGCGGTTTGTACAGCTTGAGAATGATATCGCCGAAAAGAGTAACTCTTTGCTGAACGCCTTTTCTTTTCTATGACTGAATGGGAATTTTCAAGTCTGTACAATGAATAAAATTCACAATTTGAAATTTAGATATTTCGAAGTGAAACTTAACCGCAGTTTTATTTGGTACACAACTAACCATCTTAATCAATAGGTAGGATGTAGTTTCACACAACTGCTTGTGATTTCTAGCAGATCACATATTGTGATGGGAATAATTTCAGTTTCTAAAGGAAACTCTGGTGAATTCTCACCTCAAATTGTGCAGATTGCAACTTGAGAATTTGGTTTATGCTATTACCAATTCGACTAAATATCTAGCCAGAAATAGGGTGGTTTGGACATGTTTGTCTGTTTGTGCTGAGTTGAACCGGGTGTACCAGTGATAAGGTCGGCCTCAAAAGAGCTGAACGCTCATCTAGTATTTAGATCACTTCCATCTGATTAGTAAGCATTGTAATGGACGAATTGTTTGGATAATACCTCCTGGACGATCTATTTCCAATGTTTATACTTACTAAGACACTTCAAACAACTTTGTAATTAGTTCACGTCTTTCCACTGGACTGTGTATCATTAATTTGACATTTGCATACCAGATATTGAATTTTGGTCTTTATTATTAGCCTTTGTCCGTGTTTAATCTTTAATTGCAATGCGTCGTTGTGGTTGTGTGTACATTGACAATGTGTTGTTTAACTACATGAATTTGTTTCGAAGGTTATTCTGACCCAGGAAACCTTGGTGCATGATTCTTGTAAACAGAGCTCTTGATCCCACCGTGTTGCGAATATTCTCCTTGATTCTAAGCACTTGTTTTGTATTTAGAAACATACATTACCTGTATAGCTGCCTCATGGCACTGTTGAGGTAATTTTGAGTTTGATGTTATTATTGTTTAATAGGACCCCTAAAATATTGGAGGACAATAGTATATTTCCTGCTTGTTGGAACGTTTCATGATATCGCGCGACTCAACGAAGATTTTTCAGACATACAGTGTAACGTAGAAATTAGTTTCTTGCGTCTAGACGATAATCGAATAAATTTGGTCGCTACAAACATTACTGATTAATATGAGTAGTATACAAACACTCGTCTCAATCAACCAATAGGGAATGGATATAATTAATACTTGTTTTCTCATGTTTAAATTCTGCAAAAATCTCTGAGCTTGTAAAAGAGAAAAAGCATATTTCTTCTCTTTCAAATCCTCATCAACACCTTCACAACATAATAATAATACAGAGCTTTCAAACACTACACCATGCGTAATTGTTAACGAGATGGTAATAAGTCAGTCAATAAGTATTTCTTAAGTTGAAAGTATGAAACGAATGAATAGTAATCAAAATCAAAACAAAAAGTAGAAATAATTTATTCAACTTGTAATTTCATCCCATGTGTGTATATTTGTCTTACAGTTTGCAGCTATCAATTACAGCCATATACACTCCTGATAATGATGATAATAATAATAATAAAGAAAAAATGAAGCAACGTACTTCAAAAGAGATACAATCAGTTGATGAAGAACCCGAAGATTATCCAGGATGTAAGTAACTCTTGAAACAAATTGTAGCTGTGCAAAGATATATAACACTGTATAACATCTGTCCTTGACACGTGAACCAATATATATATATATATATATATATATATATATATATTAATAAATAGGATGATGTTAAATTTCTACAAAATGGGTATTCATTCAAATTAGCATACTTGGAGGGACGAATACAAATTAAATTATCTCAGAGTAAACGAATGTCAGTATTCTGAAGAGTTAACTTGTAGGAACATGACTGGTTTTTAGTTTAATCACAGATTGGTATCAGTAAGACAACTATTGAAAACTAGGAAGTACTGGAAAGCTGTTAAGTCCTTCTTTTGGAATCTACACTACACTACGCACCCATAACCCCACTGGTAATCGAATCAAGTAGTTCCAAGTGTGAGGACAAATACTCGCCGATGATAGTGACTGTGGGAGACGGTAAAATCACTAAATGACAGAAGTTCGAGTTCACAGACCATTGGGTTCAATCCCACTGGCTGGTTCATCAACGAGCTCGTCTCGTATCCTGAACGTCCCGGGTTCAATCTCCCGGTGATTTCATGAGTGCGTACTACTGAAGCGTCCCGAGGAAGGAAGAAACAGCCGTTCAGTTCTCCCTGATTTTCAATAGTTCTGTAACTGAAATCAATCTGTAACCAAACTTGAATACGAGTACAGAAGGTAAGATGATAATTAAGTAAAGCTTAGAAAAAATGTTTGTAATAACTAAAGTGACAAAGGGTGAATACATTTCGGCCACTATGATCAATTTTGGGCTGAAGTCAACGACTTCATGGATGGGTGTCACTGATTGGTCTGACAGTACTTATCATTTCTCTTATCCTAATTCAGCTATTATTACTCTCAGTGGAAATGTGGATTATTCTTCGTAGGACCTTTGTCATTCAAATTAGTTTGAGAATATTCATAAAATCATCAATCAAATTCTGATCGAAATTATAGCTCATTTTTGATTTCAGCACATTTGAGTAATCTACTGAAGACACATACGTCCAGATGCATGGAATTCATCTCAAAATCGCCCTATTAGATGCCATGTCATACGCCAGAATGGTACGGCTCTATTTTAACCCTTTTTAACAGGCTGGCATCAAAACCTGTTGATTCTTAGTTCAATCTCCACAATGTTTCATATTCGTGTGTTTTAGACAAAATACACCCTTTCAGCACTTTGTGATTTTTAGGCAACTGAATAATGTCAATCATTGGTGAAGTTCATTTGGAAAGTGTTTTTCACCAACTTTTTACTCAACAAAACACACATAAGTTAGGCAGTCTTATTAAGAAAAAAATCATGCACCTTAAAATACCACTGCAAATAAACTTGTTAACTAAAGGCACTCAGTATCTCCTTAATAACGCATTTTTCTACGTGAAAATGCAACTCACCTCGATTTATTATGGCCTGGATTATACATTTTCTAGTTAGTCAGTTCTAATTTGTAGTGCTCATCGAATGACATCACACGCCAGGCCATAACTCGAGTGGAATAGGAATGGGTAACGATGAGTGAGTCGTCCAATGGTGACATAGAGGAGATCATGCGAGGAGGTGATGAGAGACTACGGACAACTGTGGGGCCAGCTACAGAGGACCTCAGAAAATAGGACGAAGTAGAGACGTGCTGTTCCCCTCAAAATCCAAGGGAACATTAATACTAATAATTTGTTGTGCAGTATAGCTGTACCAACATAGAAATCTACACAAAAGTGAAGCAGTCCAAGCTGCTACATTTCAGAAAAATGTACAGACACAGGTAGAGAAAGAAATGGCAACGAAACTATAATAGAAAGGAATATATTGGAAGAGAAATAACTGCATAAACAAAGAAAACCTAGTGAACCCAGATCACAAGAAGGAATTTACCTGTGCTATTAAGCCTCGAAACAAACAGTACCCTTATCTTGATGAGAAGTATATGCAGTTTTGTTTGACTGAATTCAAATAAGCTATATGCAGAAAGTATGCAAAACTTTGCTTCACCACTGCCTTACAGAATCCATGTTCATATAATATTAACTCTTATCTATTTTTTTCTTATCTTTCCTTACAGGGGTGACATCTTCTTGTTTCATAGCATCTTCAGTATTTCGTAAAGATGTCTGTCTTAAAATGGGCATTCAGTGGAGAGATATGACATCATATGAGAAGAATTTTGATGATTATGAACTGCAAATACCTCGCCTTTTTCATATTTTTGAACAATGGTTTTAATTTCTTTCGTCAAGTATCCTAAGTTATAAATGATTTATTCATATGACCAGTAAATTTATATAGTATCCATTGTTAAACTTTTCCTGAAACCGCTCCAAAATACATGATATTTCCTGAAAAAACACCTACGATCTGAATAAGAATGATAGTTCGAACGACTCACAACGTATAGTGAGAAAAAATAATATAGAATAATTCATAGGATGGATAGAACTTGAAAAAGGGTGTGCAATTATAAGATTAGTAGACAAATCGAATAAAATAAAAACGTTACGTAATATTGTGTGAAATTTAATAGCATAGAATTTAATGTTGTAAAAAGGAATTGATTTAGAATGACAAGTGCAACAAGTGAAATAATACCGGGGACAGTTAAAAGTGAGAATAGTAATAGTAACAATTGACGTAATAAGGAAGAGTATACAAATTGAATAGACAAAAATGAAAAATTGGTAGAGCTAAAATATGATTGGGGATTACCATACTTTAGCATAGAGGGATAAAGACCATGAAAGTTGGAGGGGTTGAACGACCTTCTTTTGTACACAGAGATCTGGCTTTTCTGTTTCGATAGCCAAAGCTTCAGCAATACAGATGAGCCGGGTACGTAGGGATTTGGGTAAGTTACTCTTTGGACTCTACCAATTTTTCATTTTTGTCTATTCAATTTGTATACTCTTCCTTATTAAGTCAATTGTTACTATTACTATTCTCACTTTTAACTGTCCCCGGTATTATTTCACTTGTTGCACTTGTCATTCTAAATCAATTCCTTTTTACAACATTAAATTCTATGCTATTAAATTTCACACAATATTACGTAACGTTTTTATTTTATTCGATTTGTCTACTAATCTTAAAAAATAATATATCTAGGCGTCAATCTATTGTGAAATACTTCCCTAGTACTCCGAAAGGATTGGTTTTGCATGACTGTTGAGCCCAGGCTGCTTGAGACCGGTAACATGGCGCCCGTTTATTGGCGATTTTACTTTACGGAATCTCATCTGTGCTCAACACTTTACTTCCTGCTGTTGGGATGTACAATTTTCAGGACCAGTTTTTCCTCCATACCAGAAAGATAGAACAGTACACTACTACCTCTGTCACCTATATACTTTAACTTCAGTTATTTCTACAGCTTAAATATGACACAGACGCTTTTGAGATATGATTCATCTATAAATTTTAAACTGCATAGTGTCTGTAAATTTAAAGCACCATGTAGAAACGAGATTATTCAATCCCCTAACCATATGCTTTGGAAACATTCACTCGAACTGCTTGTTCACAATAGTTTCTTGGTGAATTTGCAGAGACCTAACAGTGTTTTCATCTCCTAACACGACCAATCATTCGCAAAATGACAAGCACCCGTATAAACTCAATTAGTGTTTTACTTAATCTGAAGGTAGGTAGGTACTGACGACAATATATTGAATCAAAGAAATGAATTCGACATATCCCATGAAGAGTAGAATATTTGGCACAGGGAATCGAAATCATTTTCGGTGAGGGGGGAGAAGAAGCTTCATTTATTTAAGTAATAGCTGAAATTGGAACACTGAGGGTAGCAGTGCTTCATCAGATGTACACTCATTTGAGGCGAAACTTTAAGCATCCAGAGACGACTTGTCAGCTTTTAGTAATTTCTTTTTACTGATGTATTGATAATGAACTTCATTGTAATCTGCTGCTATAAGTGTGAACTACACGTTAACTACAAACGTCATCGCGTTGCAAATATTTCCTTAATCTATGTGTACACTACAACTATGATCATTTTAATGATTTGATTCTTTTAAGCAGAATTAAGCGAAGTGAATCCACAAATGAGTGAAACAGCCATTTATTACTTGAGTCACTTTAACTAGTAGTATACATGGCAAAGCTATTCTGATAATCGATCTAATTGTACGGGGAGGGACATGGAAGGTAATAAAACCTTTATACCCGAAATACAACTTGTTTGCATATAAAAAGGGTTTATTTACTTTACAACAAACAACTGAAAGAACAAAATATGAATTTTTTTCAAAATGATTACAAAACAAATTCATTCACATTTATACATTTCAACAAGAGGTGGAAAAGGAACAGATGGAATGATACTTTCCCAGTAAGGGAATTCCTTCTTTACATCGCTCATGTAATATGTGCATATGTCAATAATACAACCACGATTGTTAATTATTTTTACAATGAGCCGTTTGGTGTATGGTAAGAAGATTCATCACTTGTATCCTGATGAGGATTACGATTTGAGTTTTCGTCTGACTGTTGTCCCTGTTGTTGAAATTTGCTTTCTACCTTACTAACTGTAAGTGAAATAGTTGAACGACACAAAATAACCCAGGATATTACTAAAATTTTTGCAGGAATATACGACAACACAGTACATATTGTAACGAGTACTTGATGATGCATAGAATCATCTGCCTTTTTTATAGAATATAATGTCTCACGACTTATTGTCTCTGCAGGTGCACGAGAAATTAGATAGGCTATAAAAATAGCTTCAATCGCATGTAGGGTAAAATAAATGCCGAAACGACGAGTCATCTATAGAAAATTTATTCAAAACATTGAAAAAAACAGCATGGTAATAGTTTATAATACATAGACAACTACAGAAATTTTGTTTGTAGTATTTATAGTAATGAAAGTAATATTAACAGTACTAAACGCAACACTGATACACGTAAACATACACTTGTACTATGATTTTCAGGAGATTGCCTCGTTAGGGTTGTGGTTCTCAATTTTTAGGTGTTTGTTTGCAAGGATTTGATTAGCTTCCCATTTGACCACAGATCGATATCAGTTAGAGAACCATTGAAAATCACGGAGTACTGAACAGCTCTTTCGTTCTAGTTTGGGACTCTTCGGTTATATACACTCATGACCCTACCAAGGACTGAATCCAGGACATTTTCTGGAATCATGACTAGTGAAGTCTACCAGGCAAGATGTGAGGACAAATACTCGCCAATGACATTGACTAGTTGTGGCTGTAAAAAGTTTCGAACTGACAGAATTTATCATTCATAGGCCAGTGGTTGAACGGTCAATGACCTCGCCTTGTAACTTGAATGCCCTGAGTTTGATCCCCACTAGGGTCACGGGTGTATACTTCAGCTCAAGTATCTGAGTAGCATCATCTCACCAGGATTAGTTGTTGTGTATTTAGCATAACATTAGATTTTCTGCAGTCCGCTAGGATCATTCATATAAGTATTCACCACATCACATTAAGGTGTCTATTATTGTACGACACAGAAAATAAAGTCAACCCTTCATTCCTGTATACTCATATCACATCTATCAAACCTTTATATTTGAGCTTGACAGTAAATTAGAGCTACACAGCTTATGAAACAGACACCGATTTCTACGTTTTATATTCATTAAGTCTCACCCTAAAACATACAATAAAACTAAAACGCGATAAACAACTTTTATGCTGATAACCCAATGGATAAATTAAATGCATCAAAGTTGTTCGAAGCAAAGAAGTATCCAGTTAAAACTCTGTACATTAGTTCAGGTTGCTACACTTTAAAAAAGCACACATGAGGGCTAGTGAAAAGAAGTGCAGTGCAAATATAACAAACGAAGATGCACAGGGAAGAGAACAATCAAATGAAGATTTGTCAGGATTTTCAGAATCAGTCTGTCTGTTTGTCTGTTTTCGATATAGAACTTTGCACATATGTGCGGCACTTCAAGTCGCCACACTCCCTCCTTGTAGCACACAAAGCAAGAGAAGAAAGTAGGAGAAATGCATATTTGAGACAGGAAACAGAGGTGTGGGACAAAGGAATAGTAATAACGAGGAACAAAACAGTTTAATTGGAAATCATAAGTCACAAGGAGTGGATGCATCTGCACCAGCCATTGAGAACGATTTTGAACCACGTCACCAATTGTTTCCAACCATTGGTTTTTACCGTCGCGAGGACCCCAACCAGGAAGTCTACACCTTTCTACGTGGATTTCATTGACTGGTGTCATGTTTTGGTTTGACCACCGCTAGCTCTTTTCCAGCCTGGCCCTATATCAGCTTACATTGCCCGTCGAGGAAGGCAATGACTAGACACACGTGACACATGTCCTAACCACCTCAACCGGTGTAACTTCACAGCCTCGTCGATTGATTTCCCCTCCCACCTACCTAGCACTCGACGCCTAGCCTCAATATTGCTCACCTTATTATACCACTTCACACGGGAGATAGAACGCAGACACCTATGATCAAAGACAGCTAATGTTTTCCACTCTCAATGGCCAGGTCTCACAGCCATAAAGGAGGACGGAGTGGACTGATGACCAGTACATACGCCCTTTGGTCGATAGTCGGTATCACGTCTACGCCAGAGACGGCGTAAACTGGCATATGCGAAACTTTCAGAATCAGGATGATAACGAATCAGTATATTTATACCATAACGAACAATTTTCGTAAAATTCAACTGACCAAAATAATCGATTTGAAAGATCTCTTTCATTGTAACTGAGTCGAATAACAAACATTACAGAAAAATCCTATTTTCGAATAGCTATTCGTAACATAAGTGAAATGTTTGCCAGAATACTTATTCTAACGTACAAACAATGATTATGTGTTCATGTGGTCATTTAATGCATTCCGCTGTTAATTCGTCATATCTGGGATAACTATAATGTTGGGAAAAGTAGACTGTTAAACCCAGTCTTCAACAGATAAGCAGATATTTCACCAACACCAAAGAGGGCATTGAAGTACGCTGAAGGAGGGGTTCAATTATATAGGTGAGAATATAATCGATAAAGTCTTCATTTGTATTTGAGAAAAATATATCCAAGATATTTTTAATAAAAACCAACCCAGGCGAAGTTAAACTATCATAGCCACAGTCAAGGTCTTCCAAAAGTTGGACTTCAAGAACCAATCAGACACAGGGAATACTATGAAAAATCATTCCAAATGATATCATGCTTGCCTTTTTGGACTTGAAGAAGGTAGATACAGTTATCCACTTATACCTTAATTACTTTTTCTGTAATTCTATACTGTTAGGTAGGTTTAGGTTCTAGGATTAAGGTTAGGATTAGGAGTCAGGATTATAGTTAGATTTAGGAGTAGGTTAAAGAACAGTGTCAAAAAAGCAACAGATCTCAAAGTACCATGAACTACAGTCACCTGGATAAATGCATCTATCACGCAAAGTATGATTTTTTTATAGATCATCTGTGTAGTAACTGAGAGACACTCTTACGACACATAAGCGACAACTATACAGTGTAATAGCATGTTTTCATTGGTTTTTAGTGCATTTTCCAACTACTATACGACTTTTTTGTATCTGAATTCGGATTGGTTGTTTAAGGTCACTGTGATTTTGGCTATGATAGTTTAACTTTGCCCCCAATTCATAATTTAAAATGACCCACATTTTCTGAAAGCAAACATCAGATTTTACGGTATTTTTTAAGTAAACGTGAACATTTCACTAGAAATAGCACCCGCTTTTTTTCATATCGTGTTAAAATGTGATAACCATTGTAATTTCTTTTCGTCTTCGTCCTAGTTAGTTTTACGATATGCTGAAAAGTGATACTTTGAAGTAATATACAGAAATATCTTAAAAACAATTACCTATCTACTTCTAAAAGGAATAAAAACAAAACCCACTAAAGTGTATCAAACTCACAGATCCGACGAATGTTTCAGGAGCTAGATCCCTTAGCTGACGTTCTAAAACCTTTATTCTTCGTTCTAATTTTGAATAAGCAGCAAACGCATCAACCATATGCACATTTTTTATTTTGTTTTTTAGAGCTTCTAATTCAGTTGCACACATTTTACGCAGCGCTCTCTGTCGTCGACCGGAAGATGTAGCTATGGTTAATATGAAGTTTAGAAGACTGTGTAGTCGATCCACAGCACCAAATGAAAAGCAAACCCGAAAGAATAAAATCACTAGAAATATGACAGTTAAGTATGTAAGCCATGAAACATGTGAAATAGGCGATGATTCAGATGGTGAAGGTAAAAGGGAATCAGGAACTTCATAGGTTGAGTCAAACAACAACGGATCTGGTTTAGTATCCATAAAATTCTCTGTAGACCTACAGAGTGAAAAAAAGACATGTAAAAGAGTAATGAAAATTGCAAAAGTATTTTTAGTATTATGAGAAAACATTCTTAAATAAACACTTGTCAAACAAAATGTTATATGAAACTATGAGAAATAATACATTAGTTGGAGGATTTCATAATGAGCTGACATCAGTTAGAGAACCATTGGAAAACCACCTGGGAGTACTGGACAGCTATTTCGTCCTGGTTTGGGACTCTTCAACAGTACGCACCCACACCGCGGGGGTTGAATCCAGGGCCTTCTGGTTGCAAGGCTAGCGGGCTCGAATACCATTAAGCCACTGGGACCCAATCCAATGACCAGTCCACGAATTCTAACTTCTGCCAATTCATGACACAGCGTGACCGCTTCGCTATGTCTTGTTCGATGAGTTACTGCCTCATCTTCAACCTGCTGCACCCTACTGGTCACGGCTATCCACTAGAACCCGAGGGTAACTACCTGAATATAGTCAGTCGCTAGTGAGCATCAGATTAATTTTCAAGTATTGGTTTTGTAGAGAATTTTCTTTGATTGGTTGGAGGCTTTCATCATGGGCTGAAGGTCTACGAGCTCGCCTTGTAACCAGAAGGTCCTGGGTTGAGAGAGTACCGTTGAAGAGTCCCAAACTAGGACAAAACAGCTATCCAGTACTCCCAGGTGGTTTTAGAATGGTTCTCCAACTGATGTCAGCTCATGATGAAACCCTCCAACCAATCAAACAAAATCCCTACAACAACAAAATAACCAATACTTGAAAATAATACATTAGTACAGAAGAAGCAAGAGAATATAACAGGTTTTAATACCAATTGAAACTATATCTCAGGTCTAAACATTTATGGATTATAAACTATGTAGGGAGAAATAATACACCTAAAAGACATCACAGCAGTTAGGGAAGTTGTATATATCAAACCAATACACAAAATAAATCTAATAAGTGGTTAATGCAGACCCTGTTCTATTTGTCTAAGATGGAGTTGTGACGATATTGCATTGACTTTCACTTAATTTAAATCGCTATCCCAAATATTTATTAACAGGAGTAACTAATGTACTGAGTTTCATTTATACAGATTGTACTGACATATTTCCTTATTCATATTTTCTCATTGCAGTAAAGTGGACATTATTGAATTAAAAATGTTAACTAGAAATCACTTATAATCTATTCAACATCATGTCAGTTATGCAATGAAGAAAGTCTAGAAATAAAAACTTAATTATGCACAAGATGAGAGCAGTAGTTCAAATATAATTTAATACCTCTGATTCTAATGATTGACTGGTGAGTTGCTTTTGTGCAATGGTTGCCAAGGAGCGACGTACTTCAGCTAACCTTGATTCGAGTCTATTTGTAATACGTGTAAGCTTCACGCCTTCTGTTCTGTAGGCCTCAAGAAGTTTCTGAACAGTTGCTCGTTGAATATCTGCACTGGCTTCTTCTTCCGGTAAAGCTCCGATTAGTACATCCAACTGTTTTGCAGTTGAAGAGATCGCGACTGCAAAATTCCGACTAATATCTGCAGTTAGAGAAATAAGCCAAAAATCTAGCTGAAATTTAATTCTATCGCTACTCATATTTTAAGATATTATGCAATTATTACTACAAAAAAAATAATCTTAATGAGCGTTACTTTAATGATGACAGCTAGCCAGCAACATAAAAGGTCCCAGTTCGATTCCCCGACCTAAACCGCGGCTAGTTTACCATTTGTTAATGAGCCTAATGCTGGGCTTGAGGCTAGCAACCTACTCCATAGGAAAATACAACACCGCCACTGAAACTTCAAGACATAAAGCTTCGTGCCCCACTCGAAACGCAATGGAAAGAAAAAATGAGTTCGCAGTAAGAAAAAGATGCTACAGTATCAATGAATGTTGTTCAAAAAACATATCATTCCAACTCAGAATAATTGCATTTGATAGAATCGCGTAATGATACAGCATTACTTACTGATGACATTTTGAGTACAATATATCGCTCATAGTAATATCAAGGCATTCATATAACTTTCAAACTCTGTTAACATCATTCCACTACTCTTAGTCATTTTATTCTACCATATCTACAGTTTCGGCACTGCGTCATTCCTATTGTATGTGCTAGGTTTAAATCCGATGAATAAAGATTTGGTGATCAATATCTACCTTAGCGTCGGTGGCACAGCGGTTAGGACGCTCGCCAAACATGCACATGGTCCGGGGTTCGATCCCCGGCTGACGCACTCCTTTACCTCGCTACGCCAGTAATAGAACTGGCAAAGAGGGAACGTTGGGCATCAGGCTAGCAACCCCATCCTGTAAAAATAAATACTGCTACAGAAACTTTAAGCCCCTACCTTGAAGCCTTATGTTTCACTGGGAACGTGAAGGAATAAAAATATACCTCCCTCCACCTACTTATAATACTTTGTTTTAGAACTGTAGCTCTGTCTTACCCTGTTGTATGGTGGTTAGTGCACGCATGGAGATTGCTGAGTTTTTCTCTAAATTATTCATCTTCCTGGGGTTAATCACTCTAAACAAGGTAAATTCCTGTTCCGATAACCTGACTAACCACGATCTACTGGTCTGACCCATGTGGTTGACTACAACAGTACAGTTTCTATGTATAAAGCTTCATTTTTTTCAGTAAGTGTTCGATGTACTGAATGAAAACCAGCCCCTTGGTCAGATTACTTGTAGTTTCAGCCAAATATGTGAAATATCTTAAAAATATTATTATACAAAAAGAATGACATATAGCCTCCAAATTTATGTTAAAATTGTGGTACTAACCCTCTGGTGATTGAGACTGAAGAAATGCTTGATATTCTGGTTTGGTTGATCTAGACGCCCAATTAAAATCAGCAAAAAAGCTAGGCTGAGCAATTTGTTGTATCACACCAATTGCGTTACACAGATTTTCCGCCTGTAAATTAATTGCGTCTTGTAATTCAGTTAGTCTATCTGCCATCCAACTTGGCAGCTAAAAATAAAAACAATAATTATAACTAATATAAGTTATATTACAACTGCTTAAAGAGAAAAAACATTTAGCTGTCGGTGAGACGTAAGATGATGGAGACTCACCATTCCATATGAAATGAAGTAAAAGCTGAAGCATAATTAGATGGGAAGTTAGGAAATGACCGGTCCCGATATTATAAGTCAATATAAAAAATGGCTGAATAAGCGGTCAGAAAACAATTGATAGAAGAGATCCAAACAGAGATCCTCTTATCTCCATAGTTTGCCATTTTCGAGGTAGAATATGTATACGAATATAAATAACAACGAAGTAATAAATATCTTTAGCTACAGTAGATGTATTCATAAATATTTAAGAACACCTGACTCATACAACTCAGTAAACGTCTCATTTGCATATTGTCAAAAAACCAAAGGCAAAATTGAACTGATATGAGAACACATCCATAGCGTTTATCATACTTCCAATTATAAACTGAACGGTGCTGGATTGTGAAATTAAACGAGAAGGCAAAGACGTATGTCATTGTGTCTAAAAAGTGCAGCAGCACCCCAAAAAGGCATTTAGATACCGTAACATTCTATCAGAAGCCTAACCAAGTGTTTCAGAACTACTTTAAAAACCATCAATTTCAAGAATTTCAATTATTCATCCGGCGCTAAATAAGTTGTACACTTTACAAAATAGTTCATGGAATGTACAGATCTTAGAAAGGGTTTAGAAAGAATTGACGGGACTAGTAAGTAGTTAAAACGTTACACAGGAAGGCGAGAATCCTGATTACAGAGCACTGAAAAAAAATTATATTAAATTCGATAATAATATTTATAGGCCTTCATTGAATTTCAACCGTTTAAACTGTTTTTGGTACTGTTTTGTTAGAAGAGACAATGTAACTTTGGTTTTGTGTTAAAGTACTGATTGCCTACCTGCCGATATCCTTAAAAGGAGGATGTCACATCTTGAGAATAGTATTTTTCAGGCCGACCATTACTGTTCAGCAACCTGAAGGATAAGATCCGGCAGTTTTCCATGTGTCTATGAATCCACCAACTTCTTTGGACCGGTCGGTGGACGCCAGTTTTGTTCAAAAAAGCGTAAGGAAACTAAGCCGCATGACTACGAAGAGGTAGAAGTGGAGCTACAATAAGCTCAGTTATTGAACATCTGGTCAACACTGGTTAACCTATTCCTACAACCTCTTCTTTTAAAGTTATCTATAAGGTGAAAATAACCTGCCAAAATCATTACACTGCTGAATCATCCGTGTTGCTGTAGCTTTGGTCATCGCAATAGAAAAGTAAGTTTTCAATTCAGAAGTTTCCTCAACCACTCCCACTTTTATGGTCTTAATCCGTCTATGTTAAACTAATATAATCCCTATTTCCTCCTCGGCTCTATTTATTATTTTAATCCATCCCTTATTATTTTGTCATTATTTACACTTCAAACAGTTTCCGGCATTATGCTTCTTGTTACCCTTAACTTATTCGATCTTTGCAATGCTGCCTAAACAGAATTCTCAATTTCTTACGCAACATTTTAATTACCTACTAATCTTATTAAGTCTACACCCCTTTCCAGCATTTACACATTCGACAAACTATTTTACTAAGTACACATCCAATTTTTCGCTTGACGTTATACTCACGATTATGAAAAAATTTATACATACTATACGTAAGCAAAATTAATCGGAAAATTTCTGGATACTGGGTAGAAATAAACATTCTAAGAGGGGTATTCAAAGAAGGAAAGAACACCGGCAAATATATGTAAAACCCTAAGGGTGGGTACTGCCGATGAGTCCCATACTAGGATGAAACAGCTGTCCAGTACTCCCTGGTTTTCAGTGGTTATCTAACTGATATGAATCCGTGGTCTAGCCTGAAACAGATACGTAAAATCCTTATTTAAACTGCGGTGAAGTAGCACTCAAACCTAGACACTTACTCAAAATGAAACTGCATCAACCTACAGATCCCACTGACTCAAGTAGACAGAATAACTCAACTAACCAAATGCTATCGAATAACTGTTGTCAAAACCTAGTTACGCATATCAGGTTTCCTATGTATCAAACTTGGTCTCACTAATTGCATCATGGTTGACAACACTATGCAGTTATCCAGGAATTCGAACTTGGGACTCACTAACTGATAGTCGAATTTACGCAAATGAACTACGATGGACCCTACTAAGATGAGTAATCTAAAGAAAGTCACTAGTGTACATGTAGTGACACACAACTGTACAACAGATAGGGCTATTGTCAGGTGGAGAACGAAGCTGATTACATGGAAAATACCATTAAAATCAACAATGGAGAACCAGTAAAGTAAGGAATAACTGCACGTTCAAGGTTGAAGTTACTTAACTTTTTGAGGAGATTAACAATGATTATAAAACTTCAATTTAAAAAATTAGAACTTCTCCTAAAACTCGATATCCATAGATAAGTTAGCGTACTCGGCAATTAATACCAGCTATTCTGAAAAGCCTAATGTACTGTTCAAACATAGGTATTTGAAGCAGCTTTGAAAGTGTAATTGATGAATGCAAGACGGATGCATCCACTTATGAGGCACAGTCTAACACTAGCCGGAGTCAGTCACATTGGAAACAGCAGGTAGAAACCACTAACTCCTCGGATTAGTCAATTAATCACTTCTGTCCGCAATGTAATAGGTTAGCACGTGGTGCTGACGAATATATGGATTTAAATTAGAAACTATGCATATATGTAAAATAGTGTACTATTGTTTTACAAGTACAGTCTCTGTTTAAACTAAAGTAGCAGTTACAACTGAAGGATTTAAGCCTCTGCAGTATCGTAGTATTTGAACCGCAATACAACCCATCAATTCTAAGCGATTTGTTGAACTGCCAGATTACCTCTAAAAGCAGCCTTAGATTTGTGTGTAATGAAGTGTAGCACGCAATATGCAATGATCATATGGTCGTGCATACGCACTTACCACAATAATACGGAACCTCAAAAGCAAAATATCACCAGATTTCGAAGTAGCGCCCTACTTTTCAATATCCAATATATTTGTGGTGAGCTTGTGTGAACCAGTTGATTCATTAGGCTCCCTGCTTGATCACATGAAGTGGCTCCAAATCTCTGACGAAATCCAGCAAATTCAGTTTATCCACTCGCCTGCTGCAGTTCTGTTGAATCCAGTAGGTAGTGACGCGGTATAGGATCTGTTTCGAGAAAGTGTTGCCAACTATCATCGTTTGACCAGATAATCCTCCAAACCAGTCAAGAACAAGCTGGAAAGGTGAAATAAGTGATATATTTGTATAATTTTACCAGCATTTTTATCGTAAGTAACACCAGAAGTGAATCGTACTGAATGCGGATTAATAATGGTTAATGTCACGCAGATTTGTCTTACTACACCCTCATCAGCCAAAACCGCTATTTGTTGCTGCATGGTTGTTCCGTATGAGTATGTTGATTAACACGTAGAAAGCTGTTTGTAAGCCATTTTAGATCACTGACACTGCTTTTATAGGATACTGTACAGCGTCCTGTTATGGTGACGGTGGATATTCCAAGGATGCTGAGTCATTGCTAGACAAAACCTTGAAGGATAATATATGAGTAAGTGACTCCAACCCCTGCTCAGCTTCAGTCTAACTGTAGATATGTGCAACTTCCACTACAAGGCAAATAAAAGAGAAGGGGCAAGCAGCAAAGTACCAGAGAGGAAAGAAGAAGTATGAGAAGTCGACTAGCGCCTGAATGTTTGTACATATATGTTTATATTCACTGTACATTGCCATCTAATAAACATATATATTTATTACTACGCAATCGTTTTATGCATCAATGCGACTAGTCTATCTATCGTTTATAGAGTAATTAGGGTATTTATGCGCGTTTTTTAGGTGCTGTAGTAAACTGAAAACTGATTCGTTTTAGGAATAAATAGTTTATTAATGTAATCAGTAGAGTGAAACAGCCTGTACGGAGAATGTTTGAAACTTATAACAGAGGTGCAAGTTCTGACTTCTAGGGGCAGGTTGTTTCAGATTTTAGAATACATGACTGTGAAGAAGTTTTCGCGGAGTGTTGACTCAAAGTCCTTTATTATCACTGTGCAAGTTTAGTTACGCAGACCGTATGAGCCTTCCTGTGCGAATTGTATGTCTGTCTGAAAATGATATTTTGTGTAGGGCCTTAATGAAGAATATTAGGTTTATAATAAGTCGCCTGGTCCAAAGTGGGTCAAGATTTAGAATCATGCACTGTGAGATGTATTCTTTCTTACAATCGTAGCCAAGTAGTTTGGAGGTGGAATATCGCTGGGTACTTTCCATCCTCAGCTTGTCACGTGTGTGAGTGCTGCTAATAATAAATGGACAGTATTCTAGTAGTGGCCTAACACATGTTTTGTATAGAATTAACTTGGCTTCATTGTCGCGAAAGTTCCTGAGTATGCATCCTAGGAGCATCCTCGGATTTTGAGTCTGTGATGCCACTTGCTCAGAGAATGTAAGGTCACTAGAGTGCCTCAGGCCTAAGTCAAAGACACTTCAGAGTCTGGTTAGCTTAGCATGACAGTTTTAAAATCTAATGTCACAGGGTGGAGGGAGGGATTGATAACAGAAGCTTTGGTTATCAAATCAACTGCAAATGTGTGAAATAGGAATGATTCAACACCTGCCCCAGATATCTGGAAAATTCTAATACCCCTACAACAAATGGGAGAGGAAAAACAAAACTATAGAACTCAAGTTTCGAAGTCGTGTTGTTATCATTGATATGATTATGAACAATAAATTATGTTCGAAACGTCATCCAGTAAATAATACTGTTTGACTGTGTGATACATCCAATAAACACACTAATATGGAATTGATTACTACCACAGTGCCCAAGTTTTCACATATGTAATTCAACCATTTCTTCCATATCAAATCTCTATTTTGTATGTCCAGCTGTGCGTCGTGGCACAGTGGTTAGGACTCTCGCTGACCATGCACATGGTCCGGGGTTCGATCCCCTGCCGGCGCACACCCGATATCTATGGTCGGCCTGAATTTGGGCTACCGATATCCATGCTGAAAATTCCATACTTGTACTGAAAATACGGTGTGGAATCAAGCTGTAAATCAAAAAAAGCTTCAGATGATGTATTTGTTGCAGTATCTTCCTCACTTGTTCAGACAAACGAGACTTGTTGCTCTACCACGTGGTTGCTGTGAAGCGAATTAACCAAAAAGTACTAGGCAAAGTCGAAAACCTTTACTTTTCCTTATCTTGTACTTTATCAGTCTTATCCTTGTGCTAAAGGGCAGATACTGTTGCCCTCTTATTCTCATATGGCATAAGTTATAGTGATTGCTAATATGTCTGTTGAGAGTAGGCTTAAAGAAGCACTAAAACACCACATTCTGTAGTCACAAGGGCTTCAGCCAGCAATAACCTGGGGATATTAACCCAAACTCGCATACCCATTATAAAGGCTAGCGTATATCTCCCCTGTTCTGACACTGTGCCTACATTGTCACAGTCTAGCACTGAAACAGTACATGCTATACCAAGTGAACGTGATTCTACATCTGTATCCATTGGAAGCCAGCGCGTGACACACGGCAAAACAAAAACGAAACGCTCAAGATGTCGTATGACCTCGAAAGCGTCATCTAGAAAATGAGACAAATGTCGGGCCTGTAGTGTTATCGTTTCTAAAACTGATTCAGCATTTGAATGCAATTTTTGCAAACGATGGGTACACTGCCGTTGTGACAAAGAAGTGCCATAACCGTATTATGAGTTTATGCGAAATAACTAGTGCACATGGTTCTGGTACATCTGCCCACTTCGTCACCCTGGCACAGTCCCACGCAGCTGTGGATGGCAGAAACAGCACGCCACTCTTATGTCTCAACACAGTCTCATGCAGCTCTACACCTGACAACACCATACTACCAAAACTTGGTAAAAAACAGCAAGAAGGACACTCCAGCTCAACCAACTGGAAATACCAATCATCATAAAGTGAAGACTCCCAAGGTTACACCTATGACACCAGGGTAGGATGGAATTACCAAAGCACCACTTGCATTCACTAGCAAGCATGGCAACATAGCAAAGTCTAATCAGAACCTGATGAAGTCTTAAATAACTGACCCTACAAAGAGGGAGAATCAGCCAAAAACTAAACCTAAGTCTGAGGTAAGTAGGTAGAATTCCCTTATCCTGTTTAATGTACCCGTGTGCAAAGATAGTTTGCTTGAACAGCGGGCTCTGTTTGATCAGGAACAGTGGACCAAATTATGCAATAAATTAGGTTTGTACATCAGTTCAGCAAAATTGTGCAGGCTGTACAGGGGTGTCCAGGCACCTCAAAGTAAGCCACCCCCATTAAGGGTTACAATGGGCTCTTCAGAAGAGGCTGAAAGGATACTGTCACTAGCTACTAGCTGTCGACAGGAGTTTCAGCATTAAAGTGGGACATGATAGTCCTCGTGCTAACAGGTAAATGGTGGGGGAGCCTTCAGAACTGATGCCTTCGACCTCTACGGTCATGCACGGTGTTCCGGAGCTGGTACTGCTTGTGAAAAATACATGCATGACGTACAACAAAGGAGTTGGCCGTCATCTCAGATGGCCCTTGGTGCTTCTGGAGCAATCTCGATTATCCGACTACCTCACCCCGCTCATCTCAAACCGATTAGCTCCTCAAGGCTGCTAAGTGTCAACTTCAACTCCTGGGAACAGTTGGCCCCAATACTTCAACGGTGGTACGAGACCAACGGCAAATTTGGAGGAGCCATCCGATGCTGCGAAGCAGACCTCGAGACACAAGGAGACAGCAAACTGAGGCTTTAATACATCCCCAAGCCTCAGTAACAGTAGAGCGACGCGGTAGTGAGAATGACAATCAGTGCCACCCAAGTGTCCCACTCGAATCCAATGAAAAAACAACAACAGACTCATTCCATCGGAATCGGTCAACTAGTCCCAATACTAAGTTCCCCACCAGCACACAACGTAACGTCAACTACCCCTCAACACGCTGAGGTTGTGGGACCCATAGTCAGCTACCTTCATAGCAAGTCAAGAGGGCTTAAAGGGAAATTAGGTGAACTCAGAAACTTCCTGTCACACTAAGACCTTAAAATAATAATCCTCACTGAAACCTGGCTAACCATCAATAAAGCCGACAACGAAATCAGTATAAGTGGTATGGTTCTGGTCAGGAGAGACACGGATAATAAAGAAGGTGGAGTTGCCATATACTTTGACAAGCAACTTAAATGTGTACGTGCAATGGACCCGTCACTTATTGAACTCCCAGACTCAATATGGTGTCCTTTCACCGTAGATCACAGCAGGCGTTTTCTGGGCGGCATTTACCGATCACCCACCTGTAGAGTAAAGCACAACCAGCTACTGCTCAGCACCATCATAGGGTTACGGAACTTGGGCTTTGACCAGGTCCCCGTAGCTGGAGATTTCAATGCCACATCACTCTACCTTGGCTCGGGATATGCTCAGGGAGAATTCCGTCGAAATCTACTGCGGACCACTCGAAATACAGAGCTGGCTGAGAATGTTAGAGAAGACACTAAGTGGAGCCCTAGTGGAAAGTCACTGAAACTAGATTATATTCTAACTAGTGACCACTTGCTCGTTGAAACGCTTCAGATCACGACTCCTCTAGGAAGTAGTGACCATACAGTCATAGGATTCCATCTTGTTCTCCATGAGCACTTGCAGTGGGACGTTAAGCGACCATGTCTGTGATATTACAAGGCGGACTATGCTGAAATGGGGAGGCTTTTGTCAAACGCAGAATGGCCCCTAGCATGGGATGAGTTATCTGTGGATGAACACTGTGAAGTGGTAAAAGAGATTATTCACACGGCAATCTCGGATACCGTCCCTCTAGTCAAAACGCAGCCCAAAAAGGTACTCACGGCTGAAGAGAGGTACGCAACATATTCTGCAAGCAAGTCGGAAGGCTTCGTCCACGTGGCAAGTATCCAAGTGTCTATCTGAAAAAAATTTT